CCTGGGAAGCCAGAAGCATTGGCTCCCCCTGAAGTTGCATGCAGTTGTTGTTAGTTATTATGCAGTGCTGTTTACCATTCAAGAAAAGCCACAAGGCACAACAAACCCCCCTATAAGAGTTTATTAGGGGAAAGAGAACAGAGGGGCATGCTTAGGCCTATGGAAATGGGCATGCAAGGAGAGAGGGGGATAGGGGTCTGTGACCTGCTTTTTATGGATTCCCCCACACATGCGCATATGGGCTTACATAGCTACACCACGTGTGCGCATAAATTATGTGATCACGCTGCACACAAATTACATGACCACGCAGCACACAGATTACGTAGGACATAAGGCCCTGGAATGACTGAGCCTCTTGCTTGGCTACTGGACAGCGCATGTGTGGTCATGTAGCTAGGGAAGTGGCCAGGAATTCTATCAGTTGTGAGCTGCTCAAACTTGGGCCAACTGCAAGAACAGTACAAACTCTTAACTACTGAGCCCTCACTGCAACATCTTTCCTACCCTTCTTGTAGTGTGCTTCACAGGTTTGGATATCGGTATTAGATTACTCTTACAAAACAGTTTGAGAAATATTGGGGAGGCCCATGTAAGGTTGTTGATATTTCTTCAACAAACTGTACGAAACTAAAAATGTTGATATGTGGTAGGTGGAGCTCTTTGGGGAGGATTAGAGGGTGTGTTGTCTTGTTGGAGGAGGTGTGTCACTGGGTTTCAAAAACCCACACCAGGTACAGGGTCTCTCTGCCTCTCAGCTACTCCTCCAGTGCCATTGCCACCTGCCTGTTCCCCACTGTGATGGTTATGGACACACCTTCTGAAAGTGTAAGCAAAGCCCCAATTAAATGCTTTCTTTTCCAGGTTACCTTGGTCATGGTGTCTCTTCACAACAATAGAAAAGTAACTAAAATAATTTGGGAATACTCCTACATACTAAATATATTTCGTTGGTGTTGTATTGTTCAGATTTTCTTTTCTTCCAGAGTCAGTTTTGACAAACTGTGTTTCATTTAAAAATTTAAATTACTGTGAACTTGTATATACGATCTTCTTTTGTCCTTTTATTTTTTAAGATTAAATGTATGTGTGTGTGTGTGAGTGCAATGTGTGTGTGTGGGGCACTTGCTTACCTGAGTATTCATGAAGAGGCCAGAGGAAGACTTCTAGTGTTCTCTTCTTGTTGGGAGCATAACACAAAGGTCCTGTGCCCACAGATCTCCACAGAAATCAGGAACATTAAGCAGACAGAATTGTTTTTTCAATGGGAAAAATGAAAAACCTGTTCTTCCATCCAGAAAGCTGGGATTTCTAAGTGATTAATAGCCTGGTTGTCTGTGATCTGCATTATCTGTTAGGCCAGGAAGCTCCTACAACCAAGACTGGAGGTGGCTAGTAGTCCAACTGATCCTTACAGCCAGTGGTTCCCCAGGCTCCCATAACCAGGAACAGAGGTAGCTAAATAGTCCAAATGACCTCTATGCTATCTGTATGACCAAGACCATGCCAGAGCCTTCCCTAGACCCTTAAGCTGGTACAAGTGGCCCGTCTCTAGAACTCATCTTGTTGGAAGAAATGGCATGGACCCTGAGTTGAGCTTCAGTGTATGTATGCTTCCTTATGCACTGGGGATTGTATCGCACCAGGAAACTTTTGTCCAAAGTATCCTGTGTTTAAGTTTGTTGGGAATAAACTGCCTAAGATCAGACTCCCTAAGTTTGATCCTGGTTGATGAAGTCAACAACAACTCAGTTGTTGAACTGAGTCTTTATTCTCATCCCTTCAGAGTTTGCTTCCTTGTCTGGACACCTGCAGGGTTCCCCTCATTCTCTAACACCCTCTACCTTATTCACTAAGAAAGGCTCTCTCAGCGAAACATGAGCGAGGCTGGTGCCCTGCAAGCCCCAGGCATCTTGTGGTCTTTGCTCCTGATAGCGTTGGGATTACAGGCTGTGCATAATGGTGCTGAGCACTGGGATTACAGGCCCGTGCATGATGATGCTGAGCACTGGGATTACAGGCCCGTGCATGATGATGCTGAGCACTGGGATTACGGGACTGTGCATGATGATGCTGAGCACTGGGATTACAGGCCTGTGCATGATGGTGCTGAGCACTGGGATTACAGGCCTGTGCACTGAGCTCATACCGGGATCTGAGGTTTTCAATTCAGGTCCTCATGGTTGCACAACAAGCACTCTTACTTGCTGAACTATCTTCTCAAGTTCTCAACCTTATCTTTCTTTCTTTCTTTCTTTCTTTTTTTTTTTTTTTTTTTTTTTTTTTTTTTTTTTTTGACACAGTGATTTAAGCCTTGGCTGGCCTGGAACTCATTATACAGACCAGGCCGACTCCACACTCACAGAGATATGTCTGTGTCTGCCTCTTTGAATGGTGGGATTAAGGGTGTGCATCACCATGCTTGGCTTTGTTTTGTTTCATTAATCTTGATTTATTTTTGTGTGAGGCAGACGTATGGCGTGGAAGTCAGAGGCCAACTTGTGGGAAATGGTTCTCTTCTTCTGTCATAGGTGTTCCAGATATTGAACTCAGTCAGGCTTGGGGGCAAACACCATCTTCTAAGCCATCCCACGAGTCTATTTTTAAAACAATTTTTTTGAGATAGGGCCTAATGTAGCAGGTTTTCTTTTGGGCCACCAACCAGCTCCCAAATCATGACAAGGAGACTTTTGATTAGTTTTGAATAGCTCAGATTTGTTCCTGGCTAGCTCTTTTAACTTAAATTAACCTGTTTCTCTTTATCTACCTTTCGCCTCGCGGCTTTTCACCTTTTCTTCTGTCTGTGTCTGCTGGCTGGCCCGGGCATCTCCCTCTCTTTCCCCTTTGTTCTCTCCTCCTTTTCTTCTCTCATTCTTTTTGAGCCCAGCTTTCCCCTCCTATTTATTCTCTCTGCCTGCTAGCCCCGCCTATCCGTCTACTGCCTAGCCATTGGTTGTTCAGCTTTTTATTAGACCCATCAGGTGCTTTAGGCAGGCCAAGTGAAACAGCAACACATCGTCACATAATTAAACCAATGCAGCATCAACAAAAACAACACGCCTTTACACGGTTAAAGTAATATTCTGCAGCATAAACAAATGTGACACATATCTTTGCCTAGTTAAAATAATATTCCACAACAGCCTTATGGTTTCGAATTTGCTATGTAGATGAGAATGACTTTGATTTCCTGAAACTCCTGCCCCTACCTGGAGTTCTGAGATCCCAGGTATGAGCCATCACACCTACTCAGTGCGCTCTCTCTCTCTCTCTCTCTCTCTCTCTCTCTCTCTCTCTCTCTCTGTCTCTCTCTCTCAAATGATTTCATTTTATCTTTGGATTTATAATTCTTTTTCTTAAGGTAGATCTTGGAACTTTAACTTTCAACCCATTTTCTAAAGTTAGACATTTTCCTTAAGTGGTGCTTTAGCTGTGTCTCATAGGTTTGATGTACACTGGTTTGTTTATGTTTTTAACCAGTGTTAACTTGAAAATATTTCCATTGTGGGGGCTGGAGAGATGGCTCAGTGGTGAAGAGCACTGGCTGCTCTTCCAGAGGTCCTGAGTTCAATTCCTAGCACCCACATGGTGGCTCATAACTGTAGTCCCATGGGATCCAGTGCTTTCTTCTTGTGTGCAGATGTACATGCAGATCAAACACCCATATACATAAATACATAGGTAAATCTTAAATTTTTCCATTGTGATGTATTATTTATTACCTTATTATAAATGTGGTGTTTCATTTCTAAGCATTTGTAGACTTTAATTAGTTTTTCTGTAATTTAGCTTTAGTTTAATTCAGAGAATAATCACTGTATGATTTAAACTCTGACATTTGCTGACACTTGCGTTAGATTCAGATGTTCTATTTTGATAAGTGTGTGTGTGTGTGTGTGTGTGTGTGTGTGTGTGTGTGTGTGTGTGTGTGTGTGTAGAATGTGTGTTTTATTTCGGGTTCAGTTAATCAGGTTAAGTTAGCAAATTCTGCTGCTGGAATTGTACAGTTGGATCCAAAGATGAAGGAGAAGTACAGTGTCTAGTAGATGCTGCCGACTTTCTTGGAAATCCAAATGGAAAAAGAGAGCTCTGACTCACTACCACACTGTTCACAATAATGTTTGCGATACATCATAGGCCTAGATATGAATCCTAAAAATAACTAAGCTTCTGAAAGAAATCGATAAGAGAGGCTGAGTGTGGTCACGGCACCTGTGGTCCAGTACTCACTCCAGAGGCAACTTGTACGCTGGTCCCTACAAGTTGGACCAGCTGGTCAACACAGAGTTCCAGACCAGCCCCCCCTCCTCCTTCCCTCTCTCTCCCTCCCTCCCTCTTCTTCTTCTCTCCAAGGAAAATACCCTAATGAGAGATAACCAACTACAAAAATTATATATTGGACTTGATATAAATAACTCCAGTTCCATTAGAAGCAAAGCCAGACTAGAGTGGGAGAGGGTGTTTTGCAGCATCTTCAACCAAACACAAATCCAAGTCTCCACCACACTCCAAAGACTTCTATTAAGCCAAGAATCCAGAATCTATTTTTAAAGATTTGCTTATTTTTAATTTTGTTTTGTGTATGATTGTTTGCCTGCACGTATGTCTGTGCACCACATGCATGCCTGCCGCCCTCGGAGGTCAGAAGAGGGCATCGGATCCCCTAGAACTGGAAGAATCCAGAATCTATAAGGAACCTCTACAAGGCACTAAGGAAAAGATAAGTCAGCCAATTCTAAAATGGAACTCGGTGCGCCCCTGTGGGTTGGTGTCAGGGCTGGATGTTCTTCGCGCTGCCTGTCGGGACAGCTCCAGCCTGGCTGCGTTCCCGGGCGCATCCCGAGAACTTGTGTTGGCCTTCCTTAAGCCGGGGAGGCGTTGGGCAGAGCTGGGCTGCGGCTCCACCCCCGGGGGTTGCCGTTTCCTTAGAAGGCGAAGCCCTAGGCTTGGCCGCTCGCCTGCGGGGAGTCCGCGCGGTACGCCTCCCGCAGCCCTCGAGACCCGGACTTCTGCGAGCGCGGGAAGAGCGGCGGAGCCTGTGCTTCGGCTCGGGCGTGGACGGGGCGGGCGCCGGGGCGGGGCGCGCTCGCTCGCGGGTTTGAATGGAAGGGTCTCGACCGGCGGAGACAGCGGCAAGCGGGTCCTGAAACCAGAACTCCACAGCCGCCCCGCGCGCCATGCGGCCGGAGAGGTGAGTCGGGCGGGCGTGGCATCTGTCCCCTGGATGTAGCACCATGGGAACGGCGACACCGGGGACAAACACCCGCCCTGCGAGGTGCGCAGGTGCGTGGCTTCAGAGCCCAGGGATTGCCGCGCCGTTTGGAGCTTTCCTTGGGAGTTGATTTCCCGACCGGGAGGAGCCCCCGGGGTCCTTTTTGTCGCCTGGTCGCAGCAGGCTGCTCTGCATCCTCCGTCGCCCCCAAACTGGTCCTCGAGCCTGGGCACTGTGACCACAGAACCTATCGCCATTTTCCCGCGGTGCTTCCAACCCTTGACCACTGCTGGGAACTGCGTGATTTAATTTAGAACCTAAAAGAACGTGACACTGTATTTTTTTTAAAGGCTTGGGGTGCAAAACGAGAGGCTATCCGAAACCGGCCCTTTTGAGGGCGGTGCCCAGCCGACCTCCTCTGTGAGCTTTGGATCGGCGCTGGACCGGGGCGCACGCGGTGGGGACCGCTGTGCCTCGCGCCGCGCCTCCAGGTCTCCCCGCCTGGCGGGCGATCCTTCCCCACTTGGCTGGAGGCCGTCCGGCTGTGCTTTGTCTGTCGTAGGTGTGGTTCCGCTCGCCTGCGCTTCGGCCATGGAGGTGCTGCGGCGCTCTTCTGTCTTTGCTGCGGAGATCATGGACGCCTTTGATCGCTCGCCCACAGACAAGGAGCTGGTGGCCCAGGCCAAGGCGCTAGGCCGGGAGTACGTGCACGCGCGGCTTTTGCGCGCCGGCCTCTCCTGGAGCGCACCAGAGCGTGCTTCGCCTGCCCCTGGAGGACGCCTAGCGGAGGTGTGCACCGTGCTGCTGCGCTTGGGTGAGTGTGGGTCACCGGCAGCTACGATCCCAGTCCCCTCACCCCCCCAGCTGGTTGATGGGCCTGTCCGCTGTGTTTCGGGGTGTGGGGTACAGCTGTTCTGCACCGACATTCCTTTCTCCAGACATGTTCAGCCCCTCTTTGGCTGCGCCTCACCCTCCCTCTGGGGTAAAGAGGAGGCGTGCGTGGGAGCCCAAATCTGTCTGGAATGGTGAGGGTGCAGGATAGGCCACCCAGGTTGGTGCTCCTCTGTTCTCTCCCAGGCTTGCCTGCTTGCTGGCTCCTTTGCCAGGTCCCCCACCCCTAACGCCCCATGCCTGTTTAGCCCAGATCACAGACAGACATTCTTGTCATCAACTACAGAAAGCTCTGAAAGCGTAATATTTTAGCAGCTAAACTTTATTGTGACCCTTGTACTCTGCTGGACTAAAAAATCCTTTGTGGGACCACGTGTCCCAATGTTTGTTTTGGAAAACAGGCCTTTCAGTTATTGGCTGAGATCCGACACCCACTGCTGTTTCCCTTGATGGGAAGCCCCCCCCCCCAGGGCCTTCTTGAAGGACATCTGGGACACTGTTTTGTGGGACACACATAGCTCAGTTGCTCTCCTTAGCTCCTCTATGGCCTGGACACGTGAGGGGGAAGGATAGGCAAACGCTGATATTGGGGCCACCTCACCACAGCCAGACTGGGGTCTGGGGCTGTCCTGGGGCCGTGCAAGGGAATGGGGGGGTGTAAATAGCAGAGATCAAACAAATAGGTGTGTGGATGTGAGGGTGTGCTCTCTCCTGGTTGGAGGGGGCCCTGTAAGACCCGGCTTCCCGGAGATGAGGTACGCACACATGCTATTTTATATAGGTCCTGCATCTTTGTGCTGTGATGGCCTCAAGGAACACGGGCTGTGTAGACCTGGCCGGCCCAAGAGTGAGAGAGGCAAAGTCCCTCGGGCCGAGTTGGACTCCCAGGAGGGCTGTGCAGGGATGGAGGGGAGCTATCTCTAGGTGTGTGCAAAGGATGAGTGAAGGGCTTAGGCTAGGTAAACTCATCAGAGAAGGAGACCAGTGCCTATTGCTGGAGAAAAGACTTGTTGGCCTCCTGAGAGCCCCTAGGGCACTGGAGTGGCAGGAAGTCTTGCCTTGGGTCTGACCCACTCAAACTCTGTCTTCTCAGTCCTTATGGCTGTGGCAGGTCCTCGGAGGCTTGACCACTGGCCTGTGGAAAGCAGCAGGTGCAAAGCCTTATGCTCAGCAGTAGCCCTCTGAGTACTCAGTAAAGTTAAGGCGTTTTTCCATCACGCAGTCCTGTTCCTACACTCGGGGGGTTCAGACCCTTCTAGACAACTAAGGGGATTCTCAGAGGGAGAGTACTTGAATCCCAGTATTTTCTTGTTCGGGTTATATTTGGGGCTGTCATGAGTATTCAGGGTGAATTTTTCTAAGTAAGCTCAGTTATAGCTCCCTGACCCCCCAGCATGACCCCCCGGCCACAAACAGGAAGCAGCCCAGCTTGTATCCCTGAGCAGTCTCCTGGGGTCAGTCTCCAGAGGGCCCCGGGGGTTTATCCTTGGCAACATCCAGGCCAGCCTTGGGAATTTCCATACCATCTCTTCATCCCCTGGCCACTCCTCCTGATTCTACCCGGTTCCAGATCTTAATTAATTAGATAGAGCCCAGCTGGCCTCAGGGGTGACGTGGGCGCCCTTATCGCTGGGACAGGACAGGCGGCAGCAGCATTTCCCTATTTGCTTTGGCTGGGGAAGTGGCTGGGCCGGGGACACCCAATCAGAGGCTGTGTGGAATTCCCGGCATCATCTTCCCCTGTGCGTGCACGAGGCTGCCAAGGGCACCGCTGCCCAGGGGGCCAGGTGGGACTGGCAGGCATCCTCCTTGGCCCAGCCGTGGCTGGGCTGATGCAGTACCATATAAAAACACACCCATTTGGCACCAGGAGCCCCTGTTGGCATGTGGGTGGTACCATTGTCCCAGGGCCTTGGTTCAGCCTAAGTCAGTTCACTGAGCCATTACCAATGATGCTAGTGCCTGGGCCAGGACAATCCTGTGAGGCAGCGGCGGCGGGGGACCACATAGCTGTGGTCTTCCAGCCAAGCCCCTCACCATGCTGGGTCCTGCCTTCCTGCCTGGCCCCTCCTCCTGCTCGGCCCATCCACTTGCTCATCGTCCTGTCTGCCCTGCAGTGAGTCACTGAGCAGGCACTGCCCATGCACCCCTGCAGGATTCCTGCCCCACTGGCCCAGCCAGCTTGCCTTAGGGGGCTGGAGGTTCCACAGCCCTCCGAGCCTCTTTGATCATGGGGCCAAGGCTGGGAGAGTCAAATGAAGTAAGAGAAGGTGGGGGGGGGGTCGGTCAAACAGGTTAAGTGGGGAATCGGGGCCCTGTGAAGGGGAAGGTGTTAGCTTGGAGGTCAAGTGAGGTCAGGTGGATCCAGTGCGGGATTGAGTCTTGGTCAGTGCTGGCCACAGGGCTATGGTGTGAGAGGACCCGACCCACTGTGTGCCCATACAGGGGATGAGCTGGAGCAGATTCGCCCCAGTGTATACCGAAATGTGGCCCGGCAGCTGCACATCTCTCTTCAATCTGAGCCCGTGGTGACTGACGCCTTCCTTGCTGTGGCTGGCCACATCTTCTCGGCAGGTAGGTCTGGCCCGTTTCCTCAAGGCATCTCTGGGAGGGGGCTCAACATTTGTGGATCAGGCGGGCTTACAGGGATAGAAAATTCTTGGGGTCTTCTGACACAGCTCTGTGGGTTCCAAGTCACTGCCATCATACAAGCCTCCTGGCACTTTGGGCTGTTCTGAACTGTGTGGCAGCCCAGCCTGGCCAAGAGCTGGTTCAGAAAGCAGTGCATGGTGCTGCCAGCCTTTTTTTTTTTTTTTTTTTTTTTTTTTAATTTTGGTGTTTTAAGATGGGGTTTCTTTGTGTAGACCTGGCTGTCCTGGAACTCTGTAGACCAGGCTGGCCTCGAACTCAGAGATCCTCCTGCCTCTGCCTCCTGAGTGCTGGGATTAAAGGTGCGCACCACCACACTCAGCTGTTTTTTATTATGTTTTTTATTTGGGGTGTGCGCGTGCACATGCGTCTGCGCATGCTCATGCACTGAACCACGGCACGTATTGTCGCGGTCAGGGGACAACTTTTGGGAGTTGGCTCTCTTTCATCATGATATCGAATTCAAGTCTCAGGCCTGGCTCTAGGTGCCTTGACCTTCTGAGCCATCCCACTGGGTATACAATTGCTGTGGCTGGAGGAATACCCTGAAACCTGAGGGCCTAATCGGGAGGTGTTGGGAGTTTTGTTGGTGGGCATTTTAATAGAGTTAGGAGTTACATATGTAATAAGTTATTATGATGGAATTGAGGTGACAGCAGAATTTAATAATATAAGTGAGTGGGTGGTTTATGAAAGTGTTGCGATTGGACTAATGGGAGAAGGGAGTGCAGGCGTAACAGCGGTGTAGAGTTGTGCTGCTTGGTTAATGGGAGTGGCTGGGTGATCCTTGTTTATGTGTATCTTTACTATTATCGAGGTTACTCAATAATTACTGCTGCTGGCCATTCTGAGGGCTGTTGACGCAGGCCTGCCACTTGGCTGGGGCGGTGACTCTCTGCAGGACTGCAGCAGCATATCCTGGGCTTTGGTGACCATGGTCTTTGAATTTCCACAGCTGGATCCACATGGGACATTTCAAAAAAAAAAAAAAAAAAATGAGCATCCCTAAGCATCTACGAGTGTACCTGGTTGTGGGCAACTTTAGGAGATTAGGGACACGCTTATCTGGGGCTCTCCCAGGGCCTTCCATCTCTGCTCCAGAAGTGAGTGTTAGGCAAGGCTTAACTCCTCTTAGCTCCTGCCGCCTCCTCCCTCTTTGCCGCAGGTTCCATTATTGCTGCTTGCCTTTTATACACTGCCCCGGGTTTTCAGGGCGCTGCAAGACGCAGCTCCCCAAACCTTCCTGTTCCAGGCTCTTTCCTTTAGAACCCTGCTTGCTAGACACCTTGTTGTCCACATGTGTCACTCAGGCCAGATCCTAGAACTTTGCCTAGGAGTGGGGAGGCCCCGGCCAGCTTCAGGAGCATCAGGACGACAGATCAGGACCAGCCAGTGTGGCTTCTGTACTGAAAAATGCAGGGCCAGGGGAATGGGCTGTGGGAAGTGAGTGAGTGGGTGGGTGGTGGAGTGGGAGAGGCGGAGAAGGGCTGTGGAATGGGAGTAGGAGAAGCTGTATTAGGAGTTAATGTGCAAGCTCCAGTCCCTTCCTTGAGGGTAACCTGCAGGCAGCTGGTGGGAGCCAGAAGCCAGCAGCCAGACGTTTTGGGTGGAGGACCACCCTTGCCCTCTCCGGAGCTTTGCAGCTGACGCCAGCCATGGGTGGCCGCCAGGGTGTCTGTCTCCAAGCTGCCAAGCAGGCTGGTTTACGAGCCAGGGATGGCTGGATTTATAAGGAACTTCGCTGCTGAGGCTGCAGAACTAGTCTGCTGATGGCTTCAGTGGAGCCAGGAGAGGCCGGGCCTCCCTTCGGGGTAGGTGTGAGCCGGAGAAAGGGACTGGGGTCCTGGGTGGTCGTGAGTGTGAACTGAGGAGAGGTCGGAGTAACCTTACCCCCCTGTCCACCATCCCTGCCGGGTGCAAGCCCACCCTGAGCATGGAGGCAGACTAGAGAGGCACTGGCTCTGGGAGACCCTCTGGGGGAGACAGAGCCCTTCCCAGCTGAGGCCAGCAGTGGGTGGCTGCTTGAGTGTCTGTCTCCAAGCTGGGGGGTGGGGAGGAGGTGGGGGAAGAGAGGCCATGGGAATGCAGGGTGGCCACGTCTCACTGGAGGCCAGAAAGTCCCAGCTGACTTGACAAACCTGCATATGAGATGATGAGCATCGACAGTCATCGTTGTGTGTGTCAGAATGGCTTCATACTTACTAGGATGCCAGACAAGCACAGTGTTGATGAGGATGTGGAGAACTCAGCCTTTACCCACAGCTGGTGGGACACATGTGAAGTATGGCTGCTTTGGAAAACAGCCTGGCAGGTCCTCAAATGGTGAAGCATGGTGTTTCCATATGACTCACCAAATCTATGATTAGATGTATACCTAACAGAAATAAAACCCATGCCTACAGAGAAGCTTGCCAGTGTGTGTTCCCAGCAGCATTATTTACACAACCAAAATTAGCGACTATCCATTCGCCCATTAATTGACAAATGGATGTGGAATATTGGTCAGCCATGAAGAGGAGTGTAGTTCAGATAAACCTTAAATGTGCCAGCCACAAATTCCATCTGTGAGAAATGTGCAGAATATGTTAACTATAACAAAGCAGATTCGAAGTTGCCAGGGGGTTATGGGGAATCGGGGTATGATGGCCAGTGGCTACGGGGAAGCAGGGCCTGGCGACCAGTGACTATGGGGTTTCTCCTGGAGAGACAGATGTTCTGGAATTATAGGGTCTGGAGAGATGGTTCAGTAGTTAAGAGCACTTCTCCTCCAGAGGAACCTAGTTCAATTCCCAGCAACCACAGGGCAGCTTACAGCCAGCTCTAACTCAAGTTCTGTCCCATTCCAGGCTATCTGAGCCCTCTTCTGGTCTCTTTGAGCATAGCATGTATGTGGTGCACAGACAAAACACCCATACACGTTAAAAATAAATGAATCAGTCTGGGTGTGGTGGTGTACGCCTTTAATCCTAGTTCTCTGGAGGCAGAGGCAGGTGAATCTCTGAGTTTGAGGCCAGCCTGGTCTATAGCATAAGTTCCAGGACAGCCAGAGGTATATAATAGAGAGACCTTGTCTCAAAAATCAAATAACCCCCCTGCCAAAAAAAAAATTAATGTTCCAGAATTAGATTGTGAATGTATATGCAAGCCCAAGGGAAGCACTTCCTCAAGAAGTGCCCCGGCACATCTTCTCCAGCCACTTCTGCTGGGAATGTCATCACCCCACGGAGTACACTGTTTTTGTTTGTTTGTTTTGATTTTTCCAGACAGGGGTTTCTCTGTGTAGCCTTGGCGGTCCTGGAACTTGGTTTGTAGGCCTGACTGACCTCAAACTCACAGAGATCCACCTGCCTTTGCCTCCCAAGTGCTGGGATTAAATGCGTGCGCCGCCGCCGCCGCCGCCGCCGCCGCCGCCACCACCACCACCACCGCCGCCGCCGCCGCCGCCCAGCGGAGCACACTGTTTAACAGGACATTAAGGTCCTCAGTTCTTGTGACGGACTGGGGCACTCTGCGGGTGACACGTTAATTCTCCATCGCATCAAGGGCACAGCTCACAGCGGAGCACCCTGTGATAATGTGACCAGCACCAAGGCCTGGCCACCGGTGCTGTTTCCCACTGGCCCTGTTCGGGAACCTTCTGGCCTAGGATGCTTAGCAGGCCGAGGCCTAGGGCTGTGTCCTGCAGGTGACATGGGTGCCACTGATGCCAGAGTGGAGCTCAGCTGGGCTTTCAGACTCGGGTTTAGTCTGGAAGAGACAGCAAGTCACTCTTTTTTTTTTTTTTTTTGGTTTTTTTGAGACAGGGTTTCTCTGTGTAGCTTTGCGCCTTTCCTGGAACTCACTTGGTAGCCCAGGTTGGCCTCGAACTCACAGAGATCCGCCTGCCTCTGCCTCCCGAGTGCTGGGATTAAAGGCGTGTGCCACCACCGCCCGGCAGCAAGTCACTCTTATGGGGGAGTTAGAAGCAGATGTGTGGCACTGGCTGATTTCAGGGGGTTGGGTTTTTTTTTTTCTCTCTCCCTTTTTATTGAGGAAACATCTGTGTACTGTACATTTAGCTACATTAAATGTCAGATTTGGTGGCATTTAGCACATTCAGAATGCTGTTTGTCCTAATCCTGAGGACAGACTATCAGCAGTCACACTCGGTCCCTCGCCCCCAGACCCCTGTGAATCATTTTTTTTTTTTTTGACTCTGTGGGTGTGCCTGTTCTGTGTTTTCTATAGGTGGACTGGCACAGTATTTGTGCCCTTTTGTGTCCGGGTCCTTTCCCCTGCTGTGCGGGGGCAGTCATCAGAACCTCACTTTTGCTATTGGCTGTATAATAGTGCCGTTGCAGGGTCCCAGCAGTTCGCTAACGAGCATTTAGTTTTTCCTTTTTGGCTATTGTGAATGGTACCGCGGTGAACATCTGTGTGCTGACGCGTGCATTGGTAAGAGGTTATTCTGAGTGCTGTGTCAAAGTGGGTTGAGGGGAATTTCACAGCCTATACAGGCTACTCTTAGGTTAGCGTCTCACAGGGCCTGTGGCTAAGCTGTGTGTGCTTTTCAAGTCTCGTCAAATGCTCTCCAACTGCCTTCCCCAGCAAAGCTGAGAACAGCAGTTACCTGAACGCTTACCTCGTCTTTCCCAGTGTGTGTATGTGTGCACAAGCATGTGGGTGCAGATGATGCTTGTGTGTGTAGGTCAGAGGTTAATGATGAGTATCTTCTTTAGTAGTTAGCTTTCAATTATTTTTTGAGACAGTCTCTCACTGAACTTGGAGGTCATAATGACTAGGCTGGCTGGCCAGTAAGCCTTAAGGATCCTCCTGTCTGCATCATCCTGGCCTCATCTCTTGGATGCCAGCACTGGGGTTACAGGCGCATGCCAGCATGCCTGGCTTTTTATACGGGTGCTGGGGATCCGAACTCATGTCTTCACATTAGCATAGCAACACTTTACTGTCTCCTCAGCCCCTGAAGCTTTTAAACATAGTAGGACCACAACTACATCTTGTTCTAATGTATCCTCTTATGCTGTTAACAAGGGGAAATAGATTTAATTTCTTCAAATGCTTAATGTGTTATTTGTACTTTTTTGCCCCCCCCACCTCCAATCTCCAGATCATTTGGCCTCAGCTTCCTGATATTACAGGGCCACGCTACTACACCTACCCCCGCTTTCTCAAAGATTTATTTGAATTTATTAATTCATTTATTTAGTTTGGGTTTTTTTGAGACAGGGTTTCTCTGTGTAGTGCTGGCTGTCCTGGATCTCGCTCTGTAGATCCGCCTGCCTCTGCCTTCTGACTGCTGGAATTAAAGGCATACACACCATGCCCAGCTGATTTATTTTATTTTTGATATTTTAATAGCATTTAAAAATATTTATACTAATTATATAATTTTAATATTTATATTTATATTTTAATGTTTAAATGTAAGTGATATATTTAAAACCTTTTTTCATTATGTATATGTGTTTGTTCCTGTGTGTGGATATGTGCATGTGTGTTCAGGTCTGACTTGGAGGTCAGAGGCTTCCTTTCCTGGAGATGGAGTCACAGGCAGTCATGAGCCGCTTACTGTAGGTCCTGGGAACTGAACTTGTTTCTCTGGAAGAGCAATATGAGCTCTTTAACTACTGAGCCATATCTCCAGCTCCACCTTTGGAGATAACTGTATGCAGCTGGGGACGACCTGGACTGAACTCATTTCTGATCCTCCTGTCTCTGCCCCAAAGATGCTGCGGTCAAGCCAGGACTTCCTGTATTTTTTCCATTTTCATGTGTGTACACACGTTTTGCATGTCTGTGGGCACATCTGCGTGCACATCCATATGGAGACTCAAGGTTGCCGCTGGGCATTATCCTCAGTAGTCTAATTTACTGAGGCAGGATTTCTCAGTCACACCCAGCGCTTGCTGATAGGGCGAGTCTTGCTAACCAGCTTGCTCCGGTCTTCCAAGGCCAGAACTGGGGAGGGTGGGCTGGCACATCCACCCAGCATTTATATGGGTTATGGGGATCTGACCTCTGGGTCTCAGGCTTGCATAGCAAATACTTCAACTACTGGGCCATCTCCCCAGCCCTAGAATTCCGATATGTTAAGGTGCTGCATGTAATCCCCCACGTGTTGCTCATCTATCTTACTTCAAAGTTTTAGTTATGCCTCCCGGCAGGTCAGCAGCCTAGGGAAGAGTCTTCCTGTGGGCTGTGGCTTTTTTATAAAGCAAGTATGGGATAGGCCCTGACCTCCTGCCCTGGTATCAAGGTTCAGAGTAGCAGACAAAACAGGGTTGGACACACCCTGGAAGTTGCCCGCTGTTTTCCTCACCCAGTTCCGAGTCAGTCCAGCCCCACTGTGCTGAGTTGCACGGCTTTCCTGTGGATACCCTCTCTCAGACGTGGGTAAGGCTGGTCTCATCCTAGGCTCCGGCAGGTATGCCCCAGAGGTTAGGAACCTCCATCTACTTGAGAACAGGCTAAGAGAGAAAATCTGACTTGCTGGGGATGGTGGTCCAGCCGCACCAGTACATCCGACCAAGTGGCCTGTTGTGGTGGTGGCCTGCAGGGAGGGTCCTGGCTCCATAACCATTACTCGTCACCGGCTGATGGCGGGCAGGAAAGTAGTTAGGAGAAGCTCAGCTTTTCACGGTGCCCTATGGGCTGGACACCAGTTTGGGTCTGATCAGCAACTATCTCCCTACAGGCATCACATGGGGCAAGGTAGTGTCCCTGTACTCGGTGGCTGCGGGGCTAGCAGTGGACTGTGTTCGGCAGGCTCAGCCTGCCATGGTTCATGCCCTGGTCGACTGCCTGGGGGAATTTGTGCGCAAGACCTTGGCGACCTGGCTTCGGAGGCGTGGCGGATGGGTGAGCCTTAGCATCAGCAGGGATGTGGGGTGGGGTGGTGGGAGGGGCGTGGTGTGGTAAGCACTGGAGTGTTAGTGGCGGGAACAGAAGGGTGGAGTGGGATGGAAGGTGGGGGCTTCGGGAAAGGACTACAGGACTCAGGGTTGCTCTGAGACACAGGCAGGTGCTGGCTCTTCTGTGCCTGCACTAACAGGATCCCAGACCCAGAACTCTTGTCTCCCTGCCGCTCCCAGGAGGTGCCTGGCAGAAAGAGGCCAACAGTCTCTCAGAGACAGAACTGAGGTCCCCCTCACAGGGAGATTTCAGTACTGTCCTAAGTATTTCACTTTCCTCTTGGGAGCCCCACTTTTCTCCATTCTCAAGAAGCACGACCTAGAGGGGTGGATGTCAGGACAGACCCTCCTAGTCTCCATGCCTGACTGCCTACATGGTTGGCCAAACCAAAGACGCTTTTGAGAACTGGGCATGAAGGATGGGCTCCATCCAGAAGCCCGGTTTCACCAATAAAGTGGGTAGGCAAGGATGCCTGATTCGAGACCTTCCCCCAACTCTTAGGTGTCCTGCTCAAGTTTTGGTCCAGATGGGCTACGGCCTCCCTTCTCAAACAGCTTTGTGATCTGATAAGACATTTTTCCAGAGGCAGGTACTAGGAACCTGGGGTTGGCTGGCTTTGCTAACTGTCCCTTTTTCCTCCCAGACTGATGTCCTCAAGTGTGTGGTCAGCACAGACCCTGGCTTCCGCTCCCACTGGCTGGTGGCCACACTCTGCAGTTTTGGCCGCTTCCTGAAGGCTGCGTTTTTCCTGTTGCTGCCAGAGAGATGAGCTGCCCACCAGGGCAGGGGCCACTCCGAGAGCCCCTGGGCCCAACCCAAGGGGCCCACAGCCTGCAAAGCACCTCCCTCACTCAAATTGGGAGCATCCAGTCCCCGGGGCCCTGTCCCAACCCCATTCCTTTGTGGACCCTGGCCTCCGGGAGGGGTGAGCGGAGAAGGCCGTCGCAGAGTCTGGAGCTGGCTTCAGTGTCTGCTGGAGCTCTTCTCTGGGAAACTCCTACCAGAAAGCCAGGGTCAGTGCCCAGCCCTGGAGAAAGGGACCGGGGAACACTTTCACTTGGTGTCCCAGGCCCGACCCCAGGAAGGGGCCTTCCCAGGACACGAGCTGGCCTCAGTCCTTGTGGGAAGCGGGTCCTGTACATCTGATCTGAAGGTGATTCTGGCTAATGCAGGAGGAGCCAGGGATGCTTACTGTCCCTAAAGGCAGAGCAGAAGGCTCCTGTGCTGCTGCTGAGGCTATGTCTAGATGAAGAAGGTGTCCCTAACTCACAAGGGGTCCTCTGTGGCAGGGGCCAGGGGTGTAGGGATCCAGGCTAGTTCACCTGACCAATGAACAAGAGATCCTGTGATGAGGTTGTCTGCACAAGTTGGACCCCAATAAAGTTCTGCCCAGCGGAGTGTGAGACCCTACTCTGATTTCTTTGTATCTGTCCTCATGTGACTGCTAAACATCGCGTGCTGGGACCTCCAAGAACTCAAGACTCAGGAAGCCCACGGTGTACCCAAAGTCTAACCTCCTCCCCTGACTGCTGTGTCCTGAGCGGCTTTGGACTTGACCTAACTAGAGGCTGTGAGCGAATGAAGAAGAAACACAGTCACAGAGAAAAGCTGGGAATGGATAGGCTGTGCACACTCTGATGGAGCTGCCACAACCCGGAACCTCAGCATATTTATTATGCACAGCCCAGGGGAAGGGCTAGCTAGTCTTGGTAGGAGGTGTCTGTAGGTGCAGTCTTAAGCTGGAACATCTAGGGGGGGAGGCTGCAGTTGCTAGTTTTTGTACACGCTGTCAATCATTCATAAACGCTCAGACTCGCACATACTTTCAACATTCGGTCAGACCAAAGGAAGGTTTTCACTTTCCGTGGGTCTGAGCCCTTGACATGGCTCAGTGCCTCATGGCTGTGTCAAACAATGCACATTCGCTCAGGACTTCATCTTCTCCGCACATTCCCTTGGCTCCCCACATCCAGCCTTTCCTTGATGCTAGTTATCTAAATCAGGCCATGGGCGTGTTTTGGAGCCCCCGCCAGACCTGTAGTGCTGGAGGCATGTGCTGGCTGAACATGCCCTGTCCTGTGTCTCCTTGGGCCCATCCTTTGACTTGACCTAGCCTAGCAACCTGCCTCCCTGCTGGGCTGTGTGTGTTGGGGTGAGCTGTGTGTCAGGCCGAGGAAGGTCCTGTAGAAAGAAGCCCTGTAGCCACATGGGGTTCACATCCCCCGGTGGGCAAAGAGGCAATCAACCATTTGCTGTAGGTGAGCCACTGTAGGATGATGTTCTGTGGCCCACTTGAGTAACGGTTAGGGGTCTGACAGGTTGGTCTGATGGCACAGGAGGGAAGGGTTCTGATGTTGGTTCTCCAGCCAAGGTTTAGAGGCGCTGCTGCCTGCCTCACAGTAGAGAGCTCTGTGCCACGTCCAGAGTGGGATGTGGCAATAGAGATACTCAAAATAGAGGGAAGGCCAGGTCCTGGTGACCTGGGCACTCTCCAAATGCAGTTCCATGCAAATAGTGGGGTACTCCTAATTATGCTGGACAAAATGGGGAAAGAAAAGGATGAACACAGGGCTTCAAACTCTCAGCTCTAGCACCCCACCAGAAGCCTTCAAAGTTCTATCTCCTCTAATAGAGACTCTATCTTCTTCAGCCAGAATTGAGGTTGCTGAGCATCCAGCCCAGTCTCCTCACCAGTGGCTGGATCATGGTATAGGTTGAACTGGTCTCACAGGGGTCTCCTGTTAAAGGGACAGCAGGAGTTGAAATGAAGTTGTGTGGAAGGCCTTGAGGAAGCTGGGGACATTGGGTCTAATGAGTGGTCCTAGACAACAGAATCAGCTTCCCACGGCAGCAGGTTTCTTTTTCCCTCTGGGGACAGCAAGTCCACTCCCAGGAGATGACCACCCAGCATTGCTGAGGCATGGTGAGGGCCTCCTCGGGGTCCTTGGGGCCACCACTGTGCTGTCTATGGACCTGTTAGCTGGACACTAGTCAAGACAAGTAGGCCTCAAGAGGGGAGAGACAGGACAGGGACAGGTGTATTGTCTAAAGAAATCTTACATTATTTGTGCAAAGTGAGGGGAAATGTGTAGAAATGGCTGTCAAGGGTGGAAGGAATGAGTAGGATCAGGCTGAGCTATTGACAAGACACACCAAAAAGATGCTTTCAGTGTTAAGAGCTGGGGGTGGGATAGGAACCGGAACTGTGGTTGGCTGGATGGTGAAGCATACATGGGCCTGGTGGCCACTGTGAATTAGCTAGAGATTTTTAATTTTTTGTTGTTGTTGTGTTTTTGAGACAAGAGTCTCTATTTCGACCTGGCTATCCTGGAGCTCAATATGTAGACTAGGCTAGCTTCAAACTCACAGAGATCCTCCTGCCTCAGCTTCCTGAGTGCTGGGATTAAAAAAGTGCACCACTCTACCCAGGTTAGCTAGGGACATAATGGAGAAGAGACCAAAAGGCCTGGAGAGTGTGAGTGTTAGCAGAGTTGTCTGGAGCACCCTGCTACCCACACCCTTGCCAGACCACCCCACTACTGAGTTGGCTCCAGCACTCCAAGTCTTTAGGCTCAGGACGCATGTGTGCCTCCAGGCCAATCTCACCAGAGTGCAGGAGCCCCAGGAAGGACCCACTGCTTCCTGGGCAGGGCTATTCCCCAAGGTTCATTGACTCCTGCTCAGGCTTTAGGGCAGGGCTGGAAGGATACCCGGCCTCTCAGCCTTAGTTTTCCTCCATCTACAATAAGGTTGGGACTGAGAAATGAAGTCTTCTAGCTGTCTGGCTTCCTGATGAGGCAAGAATTCCAGGGACCCCCAAGGTTTCAGTGTCAGAGGTCCTTCAGCCCCCCATAGCCTGTCCTCGCCTCATACTTGCCTGCCATCCACCTCTAGGCTCTGCTGCTCTCTTGGCTCATTCCTTCCTCTAAATTCCTGCTTACCCCATGCTCCCAGCCCCCAGGAGGGTATCCTGGAGGCCTCCGGGTGGCTGTGTGAAGTCTGGCTTAGGGTGGAACCCTTGTATGTGACCATTGCGCAGTACTGCCTTAGCATTTGCTGCCTGGGGGAGAGCAGGTGGAAGGAAGTGGGGAGGGAAGGAGAGGGGAAGAAAAAGCCATGTTGATATGTGGGTGGTTTGCCTTTCCAGCCTTATGTCCTTGGATCAAATCCTTTGGTTTATTTCCAACACAAGAAAGTAAATGTTCAACACTAAGAACTCAGAAAAGCACGGGCTTAAAGTGGCTGGGAGATCAGTGTGCACATTTAGTTAAGAGGACACAATGGGGGTATGACACATTCCAACAGTAGAAAGATGAAAGCTGGAGATGGAAATGGAACAAGAACTGTGAAAACCTATATGAGGCCAGCTCTAAAAACACCTTAAAGGCACAAGACAGAGCGGAGCGGACATAAAGGCCGGAGGAGAACCAGCTGACTGGCCAGCCCTCCAGGTGGGCACTCATAAACCAGATGTATTCCTTATAAAACAGGATGCTTTCTATCTTAATCAAAACAAGTTAATTATAGAATTCATGAAAGGGGGGCACACAAGAGTGGGGGAGCCAGCACCTGTGCCAGGAACCACCCCCACCCACAGTGAAGGGAAATGGGAGAGACCTACTTGCCACACTCAACCTTGAGGCTCTAGCACCATCGGAAGCTGAAGGCCAGGGATATGAATAACCCAGGGTCAGACTTCAGTGCCTAGAAAGTTCAGTCTGATGGAAAAGTGTCTCCTCATGCCCGGAGAACAGCTTTGGCAGATCTGCATTGTGACCCCTGCACCAAGACCAAGGCGGCCGGTAGAGCAAAGGCCAGTGTGAAACGCGGCAATACTAGAAAACGAAAAATTCTGTGAATTCCTTTATAACTGAAGAATGAACAAAATCTTCCTACATCTGATTATAAACCTAAGACAAAATGCACACGGAACGTTCTCTAATGTGCTGGTACTGAGTGCCACTGGGTGGGAGGAACAGGGTGTGGTGGGTGTGGGCTTTCCCTGTGATCAAAGTTGGGTAAGTAGAGGTGACGGCTGAACAGCAGGATTGCACTAAATTACACTGATTGGATGCTCTGTGATGATTAAAATGTTCCGTTTTGTGTTGCATGCATTTTACCTGAATAAAAAAATTGTAATTTAAAAGCAAGGGGATTAGGATTAATATCCCTAATTCAAAGTCTGTAAACTCTGTGTCAAGAAGAAAAACAAAATACAAGAGAAATACAAATCCAAACTACTCAACTTCCCACCTATCACTGGTCCAAAGCCACGTTCAATACCATTCCCTATTGTTCTTGGGGGTGGGCACCTTGCCCACGCACTAGGGTGTGGAACCCCGTGGTGGAAGGGCCACGTCTAAACAAGCCAGGTATCTGCCCTTTGAGTAGCAATCTCACTTCTAGAAATCAATCAGAAGAAACAAATTGGAAAAATTCCAAAATGACAGAAAAGGCTTCATAGCTACTATTTAATGAGCAAAAGATTAAATGATCCTAATGCTGGCATTAGGGAGCGATGGCAGATGTACCCTATTCTAGAATTCTGACAACTAAACCACTCCAGTGATTTACATGAGCAAAATGAACTTCAGAGAACCACCAAATCCTAGAAACAAAACAACTGAACTTATATACCAAATCGGTGTCATGGCACAGTCAGAAATTAATATAATATTTAAACTTTGTCTTTAATAGACTAGCAAAAATCAAAGTTGAATCAGCAGTCTTGTCATTAAAATTATTATAATTACATATATCCTATACAATTGAGTAACATTTTAATTTAAATTTTGCAGCTTAGGAGAAACAGAATCAAAGAATATAAATTTTAAAAAATTATAATCTTAAACTTGAATTGGAAACTGGCCCTCTAGCTGCTTCCTCCCCGAGAGATCACCCCAGGCTCCTCTGCTGTCTCCTCCCCTGGGGAGAGCTGGAAAGATAGATTGCTGTGACCTTGTTGCTCTCAGCTGAGTCTCCTGCCCCCCGCCCCCCGCCCCCGCCCCCGCCCCCCCCCCCCTTGCAGCTGCCGGCCTGCCCCTCTACCTTCCAGAGGTCCTTGAATTACAGTTGGGAGTTTATCAGTGCCTTCTGGCTTTCTGCCTCCCCAACCCCATCCTGCCCCACCCCCAAAGCCTGCAATAAGAGAGCCTCGCTTGTTCTTTGAATCTCAAGGGAATTGACAGAATTTAAGGGTACCAGCACAATGATGTAATTTTCCTAATCTTTGAAGCCAAGGGAACCTAGGGCTCTTTCCCTTCAGGAACCACGCCCCCCACTGTACTGTGACAGCTCTTCTCACTGAAGCTCTTCCTCAGACTTGAAGGCTTGCTTTCCCCTTCTGGCTGGGATGCTGTAGCTCTATTAGAGCTCATGTGAAGGGTAATTTTTATTCATGTGCATGTGTGGATGCCCGAAAGGGCCAGAAGAGGGTGTCAGAACCCCTGGAGCTGGAGTCACAGGAGGTTGTAAGATGCTGGACGTGGTAGGAGCTGTGAATGCCCCATCTACAGAGCTACCCCTTCAGCCACACAGTTTGGGTTCGTGTGTGCAAGGCACTCATGCACATGTGTGCTCCTGTGGGGGCCAGAGGACAACCCAGTTGTAGCTAAAGTTTTCCTGCCTGGCCCACAGTCAGGGCAAATCTCTCTCACCTGCCAGTCCCACAGCCACTCAGACCCAACCAAGTAAACACAGAGACTTATATTGGTTACAAACTGTATGGCCGTGGCAGACTTCTTGCTAACTGTTCTTATAGCTTAAATTAATCCATTTCCATTAATCTATACCTTGCCATGTGGCTCGTGGCTTACTGGCATCTTCACATGCTGTTTCTCATCATGGCGGCTGGCAGTGTCTCTCTGACTCAGCCTTCCACTTCACAGCTTTATTCTCCTCCTTGTCCCGCCTACACTTCCTGCCTAGCCACTGACCAATCAGTGATTTATTTATTGACCAATCAGAGCAACACATTTGCCATACAGAACATCCCACAGCACCCAGTAAATACTCTTCAACTACAGAGCCATCTCTCCAGCCTCTCCATCTTGTATTTTGAGACACAGTTTCTTATTGGCCTGGAGCTTGCCAGTTAGGGTAGGTCCATTTCTGCCTGTCTCCGCTGCTCGAGCGCTAGGATGACAGGCATTTCTACATCACAGCACACAATTTGTGTGTGTGTGTGTGTGTGTGTGTGTGTGTGTGTGTGTGTGTGTGTGTAGGCCAGAGGTTGGTGCTGGGTGTCTTTGTTAACTGCTCCCCACCTTTCTCATTTTTGAGACAGGGTCTCTCTCTGTGGCTCCGGCTGTCCTGGAACTCCCTATGTAGAGCAGTCTGGCCTTGAACTCAGAAACCCACCTGCCTCTGCAGCAGGAGCTGGTATTAAAGGCAAGCACCACCATCCCAGATTCCACCTTATTTTTAAAAGGTATTTTATTATTTCTTTATATGTGTGTACACCTGTGGGGGCCAGGAGAGGGTGTTGGATCTCCTGGAGCTGGAGCTGCAGGCAATTGTGAGCTGCCCCCTGTGGGTGCTGGGATCGGAACTTGGGTCCTCTGGAACAGCAGCAAACTGCTTTTAGGCTCTGAGCCATCTAGTCCTCCACCTTACTGTTTTCCTCCACCTTGTTTTTTGAGACAAGATCTCTCACTGGATCTGAAGCATGTCCATTTGGCCCGGCAGGCTCCAGGGATCTGTCTGTCTGGGATTATGGGCTATTGCTAAAACTCCTTCACATGGGAGACACAGGCAATCCCCTCTCCGAAGGTCCCCCAAGCAAACGTAGGCATGATTCTGCCAAAATCTACTCTGGTAAACCAATGAGTTTATTGGGCTTTCTTACGGAGCGTAGGTGAGCAGTTACTTTCAGGGTGTGGGTACTCCTGTACCCCAATAGACTGCACCTGGAAAGCCTTTACCCAGCAGGGGAGGGCTTTCCCACAGCACAAAGATGAAGGCCCACACCTCTAGTCTTCCCCAGCCTGTATACTCTAGCCCCTTCAGAGGTCATGTGCAACTAAGGAACAGCTGTATATAACAGATGGTAGGGAATGGGTGGATACTCAGGTGAGGGTCTCCCCACCCTCCTCAACAAGCCCAGCTGGAATGCCCTTCTGCAAGCTGGCAAAGCTTGACTGCCTCAAGATGGCAGCTGTTTGGCTCAGAGGACAGTCACAGCATAGGAATATGCTGCCACACACATTTGTTGCATGGGTGCTGGGGAATGAATTCCAGTGCTGTTTGTGTGGCAAGAACGTTATCGATGGAGCGAGCCAGCACCTCCCCAAGTCCCTCATCTGTATTTTTAAATGTGCATGCCACAAGCTGATGTAGTCAGGAGAGGAGGGTTTTTACTCAGCGTTCTTACCACTGTGACAAAATAGGTGGCATAATGCTAAGATAATTTTGCTCAAGGTTTCAGGTGTCAGTCCATCATGGCCAGAAGGGTTTAGTGAAGCGACTCATACCACAGTGACCAGGAAGAGAGCAAAGGGGATACTGGGAAGAGCCAGGACAAGATACAGGCCCCAAGGACACACCCTAACCTATTTTCTCCAGCTAGGCTCCACCGCCCACCTTTCACCACTTCCTAATGATGCCACCATATTATGATCCACCAAGTGACTAACCCCTTGATTAGGTCAGAGTCCTTCTGATCTAACAGTGTCTGCAGACTCTCTCAGACACACCCAGGGGTGTGCTTCTCTAATTCCTTAGGTGCTTTTCAACGCAGTCGAGCTAACATTCACCTGCCACGAGGAGGCCATGGACTGCAATGTCGCTTCACGGGCGGTCTCGGAAAATGAGAGAAAATGGAGTGGCTCAATCGGTGAAGCGCTTGCCTAGCGTGCGTGAGGCTCTGGGTTTGATCTTCAGCTTCGTGACACACACTTGGAACACAAGCACTTGGGAGGCAGAGGCACAGGTCAGGAGTTCAAAGTCATTCTTGGCTACAGAAGTCAGCTTAGGCTACATGAGACCTTGTTTCCAAAACAAAAACCTCCTGGCTCTTGTGCATGGACAGACCCGGAAGTTGAGTAGCCCACATGAGGAGCCTGTGTACGTCTAGGCTTTGGTCTCTATTTTCACCCACCAGAAAGCTCCAGGGCTCTAGAACCTGAGCAGACTTGGGTCTGAGGCAGGCAGCCCTCGCAGATTCTCAGATCAAAGACTCCTTGGGCATCTAGGGGATAACTTGATGTCTGCCAAAGCAAAAACTTGACTGAAACTGCATGGAACTCAAAAATAAGCGTTGGCGGCAGCAGGGTAAGGGCAGGTGGGTGGTGGGTGGGGTGAGAAATGCTATCTCCTGGGTGTCCACAGACACCGCGGGGTACCCTTACCCCAAAGCACAAACCCAAGGAGAAAGCGCTAAGTGCCAGCTTCATGGCCGGGGGGCCCAGGGGCCAATTCAGCCAGCTCTGGAGGGAGCTTCTGAGCAATTCACAGCCATGACAACCAGAAGGAACAAAACAGGACAGCGGCTGCCGAGCTTATGGTCAGGCATGCAGAACTTCCAGGTGGAAGGCTGCCGGGAGACGGGCAGCAAACAGGCAAGGCTGAGAGCTGGGAGAGACTGGTGGGGCTCAGTGTGGAGAGTCCTGGATTCCACCTCCAGTACGAGGGGGGAAAGAAAGGAAAGGAAATCTTTGCCGAGGAGGGTTAGGGCTAGAGGGCATCGTAAGCACTATAGACAGTCTTTGCCTAGCCGTGCAAAAAGCAGAAACAAAACCTGTAAAAAGTAGGTGAGGAGGGGAGGAAAGGAAAGAGGGGACATGTGATCCTTTCTCAGTATCTTAAAGACTGGAAAACAACTATCAGCAGCAGATAAAAAATGTACAGTCTACACAGTGATAATATTCAAAATCCTCAGCCATAAAAATAAAGGCCTTTTATTTGGTTTTCTGTGCCATTACAAGATCACCGGGACAACAGTTCTGTGTCAGCAGAGCCTGCGGCCACACCGTGTCTGCTGCGTAGGATGTCTACTAAACTGGGGGGCTAGATGCAGGAGTCAGGCCCCTCCCCAGGCTCTGGGAGCTGCTCCAGGTTATGGGGTCACCTTCTTGTAGGTAACATGAAGATGTTGAGTCATTGGCTGTGTAGTGGTTGCCATAGAGACCGTCTGTTCAAGTTTGCCTTCAGAATTCAGTCTGAATTTTCGAGTAATCTGATGGAGAACAAAACAAAGCACTTATGTTTACACCTTCAGAGTATCATCAAGAGCCGGGTGTGGCGGCGCACGCCTATCATCCCAGCACTCAGCAGGCTGGGACAAGAGAACTAGCTCAAATTCTAGGTCAGCGTGGCTACACGAGTTCCAAGCTAGCCTCGGTTTTGTTTTGGAAAAACAGAAACACACACTGACCAAACACGGGAGCGTCCATCCACCTGTGTCGGTCACTGGTCACAGGTCTGTAAGCAGGAAAATACCCCACCAAGGTTGAGACTCTGGGCGTGAACCACCATGGGACACACCAGCCACTTCTCCCAAGCAACAGGTAGACACAGGGTTGGTATGAGTTCGGCTTTCCAGAAGTGGCCTATTGTTTAGTCTGTTAATATTTGATGATGTTCTGCTGGCTACAATCTCCACTTCCATCTGAGCCTTAAACCATAACAAATGTGTTCTTGCAGGAGTTGGGGCCAGCACTTAGGGACCACTGGTCTATTATATCATATGGCTCTTCCCACAAGAAGATGAAGAGATCCTGAGTCACGTCCTGAATCATAGCCCTCCTGTGTGGAATGCTTGTGGACACAGTGTGACCACAGGATAAATGAATGTCTAATCAACTCTCTAAGGGCCTAACACTTCAGAGTGCCAGGACCACCGGCTGCCTCTGCCACACCCATTACTTGGACTCTCAACCCTTTTGCTGAGAAAAAGATAAAAATGTCAGTCACTACAAGTTTAGTTAGAGGGGCTGAAGAGATGGCCCAGTGGTTAAAAGCACTTACTGCTCTCTCTATCAGAGGACCAGACGTGTACACAGACACACACAAATAAATGTAAAAACAGAAAAACCAATTAAAAGTCTCTTTAGGGACTGAAGATGGAGTTCAATTGGTAGAGTGCTTGCTTTTATGCATGAAGTCCTGGGTTAGATCCCCAGCTTAAATAAACTGGATGTGGTGCTGCACACCTGTAATCCCAGTACCTGGGAGGTAGAGGTAGGAGTAACATGAGTTCAAGGCCAGTCTGGGACGCTTGAGACCCTGTCACAAAAAAACAGTTCTTTCAGGGTACCAGGAAGCACCATGGAAACAAGGAGGGAAGAGGCGGAGGTGGCACCCCACTTCCACGACTACCTGTTGGCCCAGGAAGGACTCGAGGGCTTTCTTGGATTTGGAGCCTGTCTAGTTGAAAACATCACCTGGCTCCCACTGGCTCCCAGCCCAGTGCTGCACAAGAGCTGGGGGGCAAGACCAAGCAGAAACAGACCAGGGAGTCCAGCTCAAGAACTGCTCTGTGGTGAGGGGACCTTACGCAAAGTCTCAACTTGTGTCATTTTGTTTTTGTTTTCCTGAGACAGTGTCTCTCTCTCTAGCCCTGGCTGTCCTAGAACTTGCTCTGTAGACCAGGCTGGCCTCAAAATTCAGAGATCCACCTGCCTCTGCTGGGATTAAAGGCATGCACCACCACCACTTGGCCTAGAATTGAATCTTAAAAAACAAATACAAACACCTAAATAAACAATAATTGTAGGTGGAGTTTTCCTGTTCCACAGTCACTCTCAAATAAACACACTGAGGCTTATATTAATTATAAATGCTCAGCCAATAGCTCAGGCTTATTACTAACCAGCTCTTACATTTTAAGTTAACCCATATTCTTTATTTACTCTCTGCCACACGGCAGTACCTTTACTAACATGGCATGTTCATCTCCTGTTCCCTCTGCGTCTGGCTGGCAACTGCTCTGACTCCACCCTTCCTCATCCCATCATTCTCAGTTTGGCTTTCCTACCTAACTTAATCCTGTTCAGCTATTGGCCAGTCAACTTGTTTATTAAACCAATCATAGCGACATATATTCACACAGTATACAGAAGTATTATTCCACAGCAAATAACAAAATCTATTAAGCCCAAATAATCAAGACATTATGGTACCAGTTTGGAACCAATGTGAGGTCCGCAGATTACTTTGAACTGAGAGAGAAAAAGGATGGTCAGGAGGCAGAGCTGGTACTGGGAGTAGCAGGGTGGGTATCTCTTCAGTAGGGGACAGGGTAGGTGGATGTCACCTGGAGAGAAGACTGTGCCCCACTGCACACATAGTTCAGCCTCCACGGATCAATGACCCAAAGGAAAGACTTCATTTAAACTGCAAAACTTACAGAAAAATAGTTCACAGTTTTCTTGATTAGTACATAAAAACTATTCAATAAAGCATTCTAAGAATAGAGCCTATGGCAGGATTTGGAGGCATAGTCCTATAATTTTAGCTCTTCTAAGTTGGAAGCAGGAAGCCTTACATATGTCAGGTTATGTGAGACTGTCTCAAAAACAAACAAGCAAAAAAACAAACAAAACAAAACCATCCCGACCAAATAAAAGGTAAAATACAAACTGAAAAGCTATTTGTGGTCCACAGCACTCATCACTCACACAATGTGTCTATCTAAATCATAAAAGGTATCTATCCAAATTACAGAAAGAACGTCATGGCGTAAAAGAACAAGGCTCAGGAGGAATGGTCCGTCTGTACAACTTCCCGAGGCTGCCCCACTCTACTGGCAGGCCGAGGGACGCAGGCTAGAATACTGTTCCAGAGGGTGACCACTTGAGTACCTTCCAGGAGGCTGGCACACCAGGCCTCCGAACCCTTGTCAGTGTGGGTGGGCCTGGACCACTGTCTACAGCTACTCAAGCAGGACTGTAGCTGGATTTTCTTTTGGGACTACCTGGACCACCAGCCAGCAAATAACAACGTGAGACTTATTAGCTATGAAAGCTTGGCCTAAGCTTCGGTTTTTCCCCAACTAGCTCTTATGACTTAAACTAACCTGTTTTTATTCATCTATGTTCTGCCACGTGGCTTGGTTACCTCTCCTCTGCACTGTATTCCAACTTCTTCAGTTTCTCGATGGCAGCTTCTATGTGCCTAGATGCCTCCTCCCAGTTCCTCTCTCTGTCTGGAAGTCCTGCCTTTCCTCGCCTGCCTAGCTACTGGCGTCAGCTTTTTATTACAGCAATCACAGCAACCCATCTTTACAGTGTGATTAAGTATCTCAATTAAGTTCAGACTGCACAGTCCGACAAGAGCTGTCAGAGGTACAGCTGGTTGGGCCTGGGGAACAGCAGGAACTTTTGGGCTCCGTGGTGGTGGGAGAGGCCTGCAGGTGGGGGTAATGGAGCCAGCTTGTCAAAATCGTGAGTCCTAAGGTATTAGCAGGACAAATGTTAAATAATCCACCTTGTTCCCTACTCTACAAAGCTCTGGAAAGGAGTTCTGAGGATTCTGAAAGTAGCTTCAAAAACACAGAATACGAAGGTACGCTTAAAATGTGCATTAGGCAGATCAAAATTATTTCAAGTAGCCCCAAGATAGCAATACCCTGCGGTTCATCAATGATGAATGGATAAATAAGACTGAATCATCAGCTGAGCATAATGCCCTAGGCCTTTAATCCCAGCACTTGGGAGGCAGAGGCAGGTAGATCTCTGAGTTTGAGGGCAGCCTTGTCTACAGAGTGAGTTCAGGACAGCCAAGGCTACACAGAGAAACCTTGTCTTTTTTTTTTTTTTTTAAGATTTATTTATTATGTATACAACATTCTGCCTCCATGTATGCCTGCAGGCCAGAAGAGGGCACCAGATCTCATTATACATGGCTGTGAGCCATCATGTGGTTGCTGGGAATTGAACTCAGGACCTCTGCAAGAACAGCCAGTGTTCTTAACCTCTGAGCCATCTCTCCAGCCCAAGAAACCCTGTCTTAAAAAAAAAAAAAAAGATTGAATTATCAACAGAAGGAACATTACTTGGCCATAGAGATCCCCAGGTCAGCCAGCTTCCTCCTTCCCACCATGTTGCTCTGGGATTGCTTTCTGTCTCCAGAGATCCAACCAGAACTTCAGCCAGTGCAGACACTGGTCCCTGAAACCCAAGTGGCCCCAAGACTCAAAACCGAGCATCATTCAGCTGATCCACAACTTGACAGCAAACAAAGACCCAAACACACACCCAACAAAGGTGTGACCAGACAGATACCCATACCAAGAAACACCATGAATGTACCCCAGATGCTTAGATCACATGCCCCAAACACAAACATTAACAACCAAGACAACATGCCTCCTCCAGAAACCAGCTCCCTATTGTAGTATTTCCTGAGAAAAGCAATACAGCTGAAGCACAAGACAGGACTTCAAACAGCACCCATGAATATATTCAAGGACCTTAAAAAGGATATGAATAGGGGCTGGAGAGATGGCTCAGCGTCTCAGAGCACTGGCTGCTCTTCCAGAGGACCTGGGTTCAACTCCCAGCATTCACATGGCGGTTCACACCTGTCTGTAACTCCAGTTCCACGGGATCTGACACTCTCACACAGACATACATGCAGGTAAAACACCAATGGTCATAAAATAAAAATAAATAAATAAATGGTATGAGTAAATGTCTCAACAAAGACCAGAAAAACACATGCAACTAGTTGAATGAATTAATAAAAACAATTCAAGACATGAAAATAGAATTTAACAAAGAAATAGAATCACTAAAGAAAAACCAAACTGAAATAAAACTCATGATTAAAAACTCAAGAAGTCAAACAAAAAGCTGAGATAAAAGCCTCACCAACAGATCAAACCAAGTAGGAGACAGAATTCCACATCTGGAAGACAAGGGAAAAGAAACGGATAGCTCAGTCAAAGAAAAAGTTAGATCTAAAAAACCCAGGCCCAAAACATGCAGAAAATCTGGAACACCATGAACAGACCAAACCTATAAATAACAGGTACAGATTCATCATTTTGCTGCCTCCAATAAACAAACCTCACCATCAATGACAGATAGCACCTCAGAGTAAAGGGGTGGAAAAAGGAACTCCAAGCAAATAGAACTAAGGCATAAGCAGGTATGTACCTATTTTAGTACCTGACAAAACAGATTTCAAACCAAAACTAATCAGAAGAGATAGGGAAGGTCACTACATATTCATTATGGGAAAATCCACCAAGAGGATGTTACAGTGCTAACCATCTCTGCACCAAACACAAGGACGGAAGTTCATAAAAGAAACACTACTACAACTAAAATTGACCCTCACACAGTGATACTGATGTCAAAACCCTACACTCACTCACCAATAGAAAGGTCACCCAGATAAAAACTAAACAAATACTGGAGCTAAGTAACATCATAAATCAAATGGATCTTATAGACAGTTAGAGGACATCTCACCCCAAACACTGAAGAATATACTTCCTTATCAGCAGTCCATAGAACTTTCTTTAAAATTAATCACATATTAGGACACAAAGCAAGTTTTAACAAATATAGTAAAACTGAACTACCATTCTGCACCCTATCTGACCACTGTGGGTTAAAACTGGGTGTCAACAAGAACAGAAGTTCAGACAGTACACCAACTTCATGAAGCTCAACAACTCACTACCAAAGGAAAACTGGGTCAAGACAAATTCAACATTTTTTAGATTGAGTGAAAATGAAAATACAACATACCAAAATGAAGGCAGTTCTAAGAGGAAAGTTCATAGCATTAAGTACCTATATCAAAAAATTGGAGAGATCTTATATTAATAACTTAACACACTTGAAAGCTCTAGAAAAACAAGAAGAAATAACACTCAGACAGATTCAATGGGAAGAAATAAACTCATGGTAGAAATTAATGAAACAGAAATGAATGATACAAAGGTCAATGAAGAGTTGGTTCTTTGAAAAAAAAATCAGTGAGATCAACAAACCTTTAGCTAAACTAACCAAAAGAAAAGGAGAGGACCCAAATTAATAAAATTAGAAATGAAAAGGGAGACATTGTAGACACCAAAGAAATGCAGGGAATCATATGGACATACTTTTAAAAAAAAATCTGTATCCCATCAAATTGGGAAACCTCAAAGGAATGGAAAATTTTTTTTGACACAAATGACCTACCAAAGATAAATCAAGATGACCGTAACCCATAGTGAAACAGAAGAGTAATTAAAAATCTCTTGAGTAAAAACAGCTCAGAGCCTGACGGATTCAGATCCTCAAAGAACTGACACCAACACACCTCAGACCGTTCTACAAAGTGGGGCATTTCCGAAGTTTTTTTGTAACACCACTACTGTTGCAGGATATGTGATCACACTGTGAAGCCAATGCGTTACTTATTGCAAAAACCTGCCTCTAGCTGTGGTGTGGCCCAGCCCTAGCACACACCCTTCATCTTAGAGCTTTCTGTTTATTGTAAATAGTATTAAACAAAATAGACCATAGGTGAAGAGGTAGGAGCAAGCAACTAGTTGACAGGAAGTAGCCATAGAGAGTAAGAGGGAGTCAGGGAGAGGATAGAAAGGCGCATAGGAAGTAGTAGTTTGGCGTCCCTTTTGGTTTGGAATGGTGGAAGAGAAGCTCTCTAGGACATTGGTGAAGGAGGAAGGTCATCTGGCTGCTTTCTCTGCCTTCCTGGGCTAGCAGGTTTTCACCCCAGCATCTGGCTCCCAAGTCTTTATTGGCAAAATAAAAGGCCAGAGACTTAGCTAAAACATTTGTCTCCCGATGTGAAGGCGGCTGAGTTGGTGGTGGTGGGATGTGAAGGCTCCCCCAGTTCGAGGCTGTGGCTGAGGAGACACAGTCAGCAGCTGGGGTAGGATTACCTGTAGCTGCTATGCCGCAGATATAAAAACAACACACTGTTATTGCAATTTCAAAACCACACAAAGACTGAACAACAACAGAAATCCGTAAGAAAAAATGGCACAGTGGAACAGATATGCTGATCAATGGAACGGAAATGAAGAGAAGACCCACACATAACTCACATACCTACAGAAACCTTTTTTTTTTTGACTTTCTGAGACAAGGTCTCATGATGTAGCTCTGGCTATCCTTAACTATGTAGATCAGGCTGGCCTTGAACTCACAGAAACTCTGCCACCATGCCCAGCCTGATTTCTGACAAAGAAACAAAAAACATCCACTAGAGAAAAGACAGCGTGTTTAACAACAAACCATGCTAGTCAAACTGGATAACTGCAGCTAGAAGAATGAAAACAGAGTCACATCTCCTTCCCTGCACAACTCTAAATAGATTAAAGATCTCAACACAAGACCAGTACCTTCAATCTGATAGAAGAGAAAGTAGGGAATCTGCCTTAACTCATTGGCACAGGAAGGAACTTTCTGAACAGGATTTTGACAGCACAGCCATTAGCCATTAATAAGTGGGACCTCATGAAGATAAACTCTTCTGTATAGCAAAGGACATCAAGGAAACAAATAACTAGCCAGGCTGTGGTGGCACACACCTTTAATCCCAGCCCTTGGGAGGCAGAGGCAGGTAGATCTCTGAGTTCAAGGCCAGCCTGATCTACAGAGAGAGTGCCAGGGCTACACAGAGAAACCATGTCTCAAAAAACCAAGTGCATAAGCAGGTGGAAAGAAACAGACCATATGATCATATGAGCACGGTCTAAGAGATACACTGTACCTTATAAACCACATGAAGACTACAAGTCACTCAGCAGGCAAATGTCAGAACACACTGAATCACACAGAAAGGCAAATATGACAGATTAAAGGTCTAATGGAGAAAAGCAAAGCCATAAAAGCACAAGAAAATTAGGTATTATTATTATTATTATTATTATTATTATCATCATCATCACTATTTTGGAGTAGAAAACAAATTCCTAAGCAGGAATCTGAGTCCAGATGTGATAAAGGAAACACCTGGGACAGATGGTATTATAAATGAAGGCACTGACTGGGGTCATACTAGCCACAAAGGGAACAGACAACAGATAACAGCCACAGCATGTAAAAAAACCTCCTATCAGTCAATAACAGAATCACAACCTACAGAAAACCCAGCATAAATGGACTATACAAGGTAATATACACTCACCAATTAGACTGAAAACAAGAGTGGGACTGAGCAGGAACCAGTGACTGTCAGGCACTGTGACTAGTCTCACCGTTAAACAATTTACCAGGATCTCCCATTCACAATGTACCTACCCCTCTGGCTCAGTAATTTAGGAGAAATGTGTCCAGTAGATTTGGATATATTTACAAAAGTGTAAAGCACACATAAAGGGATGTTTGTGATGGCAAACAACAAACCTGGAAGGTGCAGGGCCCAGCCATCACAGTAGGGATCATTTACACCATGAGAGCGGGTGGAATTGGAAATGGTAAGAGCTGGAGACAGCAGCATGGAACCCCTAAGTCTGTCAGATGGCGTGGTACCACTGCCAAGTGCAAATACTCTGGAAACATCCGAGAGGGAGGCTGGGCTCACCTGCTCCACATGGGGCTCCTTGGCAAAGGAGATCCTGGAGATGGAATGGGATGAGATACACAGCTCGTGCCCGTTCACTTCACCCTCCTCCACCTCCACAACACCTGCAAGAGAGGGGCAGTTAGTGTTCCGAGCCACTCCCACCTTCAGAGGACTGTGGGCAGTCGGGAAACCTGAACTTTGCTACTGTGCAGATACAGTGTTTCTTCCTTCTCTGAAGTTACTCTTGCGATACCAAGGAAATGACTCAGAATTCTCTCTCTATATATATCTGTCTCTGTGTTTGTGTATGTATTTACTTGTGGGGGGTCAGAGGTTGACTCTGAGTGTTTTCCTCTGTGGCTTTCTTTCTTACTTTTTTTGGAGACATGTAGAAAGCCCCAGAGATCTGTCTGTCTCTGCACTCCCAATGCCGGGGTTACAGATGTGTAGCATTGTTATGTGGGTACTGGGGATCTGGACTCAGGTCCTCATGCTTACAGTAAGCACTTTGCCCACCACGCTATCTCCCCAGCTCCCGTACTTGTTTTTCAGAAGGGGGTCTCATTATGTTGTTTAGGCTGGTCTGGAATTCACAGGGTAAAGATCCTCCTGCCTCACCCCTCTAAGTAACGGGGAGTATAAGGGCAAATGCTCAATTGAGGGTCACCCTCTGCAGAGGTGCCTGAGCCCCAGCCCTCCTACCTGCATTTCTTAATCAGTAGGAGTAGTCCCACCCTCAAGTACAGTACTACCCTAGGCTGAAGAAGGAACCATAGATGACAGCCCTCTGGCTTTCGTACTTCCATGCCTCACAGTGCCCAGTGCTAGTATCATTCCAAGTTAGTTAATCCTGAACAGGAGTGAGACTGGACATGGTCAAAGGCACACAGGCTGTTGAGTGATTTCTGAGACATCAGATTGCCAGACTTCCAGACAAAGACCATGAGGCCAGTTGGCCTGTTCTTGCCAGGATCTATCCTTTGGGCATGTATTGTGTTAGCACAGGCAAAATACCACAACTAAGATTGTGCCAGGAGGAAGGCTCAAGTCTATGGAGAATTGTATCTTCATTGTCGCTACAATACATGACCATGAGCAGAAACATTTCAAAGTCACTGAGACAACTGCTGTCACACTGGCCAGCACCATACCTGTGTTCTGGGCACTGACAAAGGCCACCTTGTTGGTGTCGGGCTTCAGGCGGATGAAGCCACACTCTCTGTGCATTGGCTTGTGTGTGTCTGGGTGGAACGAGTTGAACCTGGATGGGAAACAGAGAGGTAAAGCAGACAGCAGGCCCTCAAAGGGCGGTCCCACAGAGTATGCCGTGGCAAGGTTTCTCCTCTGGGCATCACATGATCATCCCATGCCACCTTGGAGATCACCTCAGCCTCATAGTCATGGCAATGGAAGAAGCAAAACACAGTGACAGCTAGGCCTATGGGAACAGTGAAGGAGCTTTCTGTTTCTTAGACAGGGTCTCAATGGATAGCCCTGGCTGGCCTGTAACTCACAGCCTGTCTGTCTCCTAAGCACTGGAATTAAAGACATGTGCCACCACACCCAGCTAATAGTTTGTAACACTCCTAGCAGAAGGGGAGATTCTAACCATCATTCTCTTCTGCCTCACCTCTAGCCGTAAGTGACTTTGGGAACTGCTGAGTATACTGAGTAACTAAAAAGGGGGCCCGTGAGGTCGTCGTCTCCATGAGATGGGACTTTGCAGAGATGCAGCTACTTGAGGGTCACCTAGAGTTTTGTAGGAATTACAATGGGAAGGCTCATGTAGTTGGCATTCTCTATGCGAGTCTCTAATTTAGCAGGTGAATTAGACAAAAGAGGAAGAATTAAAAGTTGCTGGCTCACCACTTCTTGCTGCTGGGAAGGGGGCAAAAGAGAAGAGTACAAATTAGACCTGTGTTAAAGAGTCCCTCCTGGGATCAAACACCCTGAATCCCCTGAAGAGTCAGACAGTGAAGAGGGAAAATACAGGTAAAAATGACAGAAGTTACCACTCAGGTCCAACTTCTGACACACAGGAAGGAAAGTCTATGACTCAGCATGCAGACCAGGTGTACAGAAAATCAAGAGTCAGAGGAATCCTCTGCCTTGGAACAGCTTGACTTGGGAGGGACGTGCAAGAAGGAAGTGAAAGGGGGCTGGAGAGAAAGCTCAGAGGTCTTCCAGAGGTCCTGAGTTCAAGTCCCAGCAACCACATGGTGGCTCACAACCTTCTATAATGAGATCTGGTGCCCTCTTCTGGAGTGCAGGCATACATGCAGGAAGAACACTGCATACATAATAAATAAATAAATCTGTTTAAAAAAAAAAAAAAAAAAAAGGAAGTGAAAGAACTCACAGCCTGGCTTGGCTTTTCAGCCTCTGGAACGGTTTTTAGTCTGTGTGCTGTGGAATGAGAGTAACTAAGTGATAACCCATCCCTTCCTGGAACAAAGGCCAATAACCTGGTGGACTGGCTCATATATGCCATTAGGGACACTCGGTTATCAACACCGAGGTCCCCACGAATCAGGGTCTGAAAGAGAGGAGGGACAGAAGCCACCAAGGAAAGGTAGAGAGAGGTGGGGCATGGAGCTCAGTTCACTCAGCAGGAAGGGACTGTTTTCTCTACTTAAATAAGAAGGTGACTCAGCAGAGCCCCTGGGAATGGGAATGGAGCTGTAGCTGCTTAGCTGAGCCCCTTGCTGGGTGTGACCTTTACAAGGCAGAAGAGGTTTTACTGAATCTGGGTGACTTAAAACGACAAGTAATTGGGCCCTTAAAGTACTGCAACAATCAAGAGGAAATGGAAAGATAAAGCAGATAAGAGTGTTTATCCAGGTCACTGGAAGGCAAACATGACAAGATTTGTGTCAAACTGAAATTGCTAAGGGGGAAAATGGCAGAAAGACAGATGCTAATTCCAGTGAGTGTCACAGAAAACACGAAGTGATAAAACAGTACAGATGAAAACTAGGAAGCTTGTGGATGGTTTCCACCTCTGGCCCAAGTAAGCTGTGTACATTTTTCCCTGCAGGAAATCGTGTTAGGGATGGAAACTATTCACCTGGACTGGAATTTTCATAGCAGCTTATGGAGGGACAGGCAATGGCAGTGATTACTTTCACAGAACCCGGAGTCTGGCTGGCAGACCCAGGGAGCCAACTCACGTGGCAGGCGATGGAACAGTCCTGCTCCCCATGGGCTCTTGCCTGTGCTCAACACTTGAGCTAGCCCATCAGAAGAGGATAAACGCTGATCAGCACCATGGCAACAGTGCCCCAGGATAAAGAGGCAAAACAGTTCATGGAGAATAACTAGGCCATAGAAAACTACATTAAGTAGTCCCTTCTATCCATGCCATTGGAGCCCGTGTGCTTGTTTGAGGACCCAACTGAGACAAGTGATGGAACTGTTCTCATGGACCTCACTAACATCTTTCTTTAGTATCCTCTTAACTGCTGACCCGAGATCAACTAAAACGTGCTTGGAATGGATGGTGGTGGCCTGAAAAGTCCTGCCCACCCTCTATAAAAGGGCTTCATTACAAAGGTGGTATAACGCTAACATGAGTGCCTTACAGATTTTGAGGAGCATCTGAAAAACAGTAAAACCAGCAGTAAAGAGTCTAAAGAGGGTATCCTGCATGGAAGGGGAAAACATGCCAAAAGCTATGAGGTGTCAACTAAAACTTCAGTGCCGGGGTGGGTTACTTCCCTAAAAGCTGTTTGTTGGGAAGGGTCCCCAAATCATAAAGACTACTGCCACTGCTGCTGGTTACATGTCAGAACCAGATGGTCGGGTCTTCCTGATGATGCACTACAGGCTTTGGTGCAGAACATGGAGAAGTCAAGTGGGAACCCAGCTGGAAGCTCCTGTGCTAGCTGGCTTTGCTGCTGGGGAAGAGCTGCCATGACCAATCCTACTGCCATGACCAATCCTACTGGCCTGCAGACCCCGAGAGCTGCACTGTCGCAGGGCCAGGCAGGCTGTGCCCAGTGGCATGACAGCAGCAGCGACCTTGTAACTGGACTTCAGGCTTGCCCCACAGAAGAGGACTCACATCTGGTCATCTAAGTCAGGACAAAAACTTGTGGCTGGGAAGGCCACAGTGTGTGTGTGTGTGTGTGTGTGTGTGTGTGTGTGTGTGTGTGTGTGTGTGTGTGTGTGTGTGTGTGATTTTTGTTGAATGGATGTGTATACCTATCAAATGACCTTCTAAACATTTGTGTTATGCCCACAGTTTATTACTACTATTGGCCTTGGTTGTAGAGAGAAGACTTCTTACAATGGGTGGTGGTAAGGTGCAAAGATTCGTAACTGGTTAAACTGCTGAGAATAATGCCTGGTAAGTGACATAGCAATGAAATGCTTTAAAAAGGAAAAATAAGGCTCACACACATGTCACCTGCCCAAGGCTAAAGGAATGTTGTAGAAGAGGGAATGGAAACAATGTAAGAGCCAGAGGCTAGGGTGTGATGTGCTGTGCTCTTCTCTCAGGCATTCCACGGTCATCCCACTGCCATCCTGGAAAGGAGATTTCCTTGTCCCCGAAGCCATGGCAATATGGTGATGCTAGATCTGGGGTAATGGAGTAACAAAGGCCCTTCAGCTGGGGTTCCACATTAATCCCTCCTGTCCACCCGACAGTTGTAAGTGACCTGGGAGACGCTAGAGTATATAGAAGTAGAAAGTTAACTAAAAGGGAACTCTGACGCAGCTTCTATGAGGCTGCTAAGCATGATGGGGTGTACTCTGTGGTAATGTGTGGGGACCACCTATGCTCCTATAAGTAACCTCTCACCCTTGCTCTATAAACATGCCCAACAAACTCATTGGGTCCCCACGTGAGACCCGGTAGAACCCTTTGTTGTTGACACCCTATCTGGGGTGAACAGTTCATGTTTCCCCAGAAAAAGGTCAGGCAGCAATGCAAAAAACCCCGGGGAAGAAACACGAGCTACGGTCTGAGGGACACAAGCTAATCTGCTCAGAAGTGGTTCCTCCAGACTCTATCCTCAGACTACCCACCGCCTCCATCACCACCCTTCCATTTCTGGTCATTCTTCCTAGCTGACCAACTCTTAAAGACAGGAAATCGTATATGTGCATGTGTGCGTGTGTGTGTGCGTGCGTGCGTGCGTGTGTGTGTGTGTGTGTGTGAATGTGCATGCATGTGTGTCTGGGGTTGAACCCAGGGCCTGAAACATGTACTTCCTAATAATGTGGAGTATCAGGCCTTTTCAGCTTGTACGTTTCAGTTTTCAGTCCCAGGTGCCACTGTAAACACTGTAGATAATTACAGCAGAATCCTACCTTATCAGCACTTTTCTCTTGGAACTTTTTTTTTTCCATTTTTTATTTTTTGAGACAGGGACTCATTGTGTATCCCTGGCTCCCTGGAACTTACTATGTTGAACAGGATGACCTTGAACTTAAAGAGATCTGCCAGCCTCTGCCTCCCCAATGCTGGGGTTAATAGAACACTTATTTCTGTGTAAGAGTCCAACTACTCTTTATGGTAGAAATGGAACAGGAATTGAATTAGGGTTTCTAGTTAACCTTTATACAGATTCATACCGAACACAGAGCACATGTCTATAATCCCAGCACTCAGGAGGCAAAAGCAAGAGGCCAGCATGGTCTACACCATCATACCCTGATATGAAAGGGCTGAGCTCTGAAGTGGTACGGTGTAGAGACCCTGCACTTGCACAAGGCCTAGTGGGGGAGAGAGAGAGAGAGAAAGGAGGAAGGAAGGAAGGAGGAAAGGAAGGAAGGGAGAAAGGAGGAAGTGAGGGAGGGAAGGGAGAAGGAAGGAGTGAGCCTGATTTAGACTATCTGGGTCATTTATTTGCCTGTTTTTCAACAGTGCTGGAACTGAACCTCACACACGCTGGGCAAGTCCTTCTACCACTGAGCTATATCCTCGGCTCTCTTTTGAAATTTTATTGTTATCTTTTATTTTATGTGTATAGGTGTTTTACCTGCATGTATGTCTGCGTACCACATACATGCCTGGTGTCTTGCAAGGCCAGAAGAGGGCACTGGATCCCCTCAAACTATAGTTACAGATGGTTGCTAGACACCTTGTAGGTGCTAGAAATCAAACCCAGGCCCAGGTCCTCTAGAAAAACAGGGCTCTTAACTGCTGAACCATCTCTCCAGTCCACACCTAGCTCTCTTTACTTTTTTAATTTTGAGACAATCTTGCTACACATCCTTTGAACTTGTGATCCTCCTGCCTCTGACTCCCAAGTGCTGGGAATACTATAGGCATTATTTTACTTGGCTGTTCTAGACTACTTTGAGATTTATTTATTTTTTTAAAGATTATTTAATTTTTCCTCATGTGTATATGTGTGTGTAGGTACCTGTGGGTGCCCGAGGTTGGAGATCCCCAGGAGCAGGAGTTACAGGTAGTTTAATTTTAAGCTGCTTGACATGAGTTCTAAGAATTGGACTTGAGTCTTTTGGAAGAGAAATATGCACTTTTAACTGGCAAGCCATCTCTCCAGCCCAAGGTTTATTTTTCATTTTATGTGTACAGGTGTTTGCCTGCATGGATGCCTGGTTACCAGACATGTGCGGTGCACATGAGGCCAGAAAAGAGAACCAGGTCCCTGGAAATAAACAGCTGCTAGCTGTCATGTGGGTGCCAGGAACTGACACTCTGGGACGGACTGAACTCGGGTCACCAGGCCTGGAGGCTCAAGTCCTCACCACTGACATAGGACTGTGTAGTGGACACTGAAGCAGGAATGGAGTTCTGCTTTCTTATTTTATGTACTTATTTTCTTATGTGAGGCGCTGGGGAGTAAATCCAGGGTCTGCACATACGACAAAACCACTCCACCATTTAGACATGTCCCTACCCTATTTAAACTTGCTAAACATGTATTACTTTGTAATTACATTTCATTACCCTTAAAAGCAACACTATTTCCTACTGAGAACCATAAACTTCCTTGAACACCTCACCTAGCACAGGGCGAAAGTAAAGAAAGCCACATGCTCTCATTCAGTGACACTGGAGTGACTGACTTCCACACGGATCAGACTGACACTAGGGATTTAATTAAGCACATACCAATAGTCTTTCTGCTTGGATTAACAAACTTATAAACGTGTCGTCTGCCTAACATCTTAAAGAATATCGTGGAGCAAGAAAGTACCATTTTTACCAACCCTGTGCCTCAGCTGCCAGGCCTGGGAAAGAGCTTTTCTGAAGCAAATCTACAGTTGCTTTTGCATCTTCCTGCCTGGCTTGTCTTTGATCTGTCTGGAGTCAGCTGAAGACCTAGGCAGGCCATGAGCCAGGTGGGGACTTACGAGAAGTTGAGCATAGGCTGGCCCACATGGGAGATGTGCACCTCCTCCAGGTATTGGAAGGGCTGCAGTGTCGGGAAGGTACCAACTCCTGGCGGGTCGGATAGCCAGGTACCCAGCATCCAGGACAGCGGCTCCACCACTGGGTTCATCTTGGGAGGCTCTGAAAATGAGAGGATGGAACAGTAAATGACCTGCTTCCTCCAGTGGTCTGCCAGGCTTTGGATGGAGACCCACATGCCACTGGAACGTACTTCCGTCAGAACAGCCACACAACCCTCCAATGCCCTGTAGAACCTCTGTAGTGCCCAGCGTCTGGGTCGTGAGGGAATGAAAAGAAGAAAGCCCGAGTACCCTCCTCCAGCTCCTGGCGTCCTGGGATTGGAATGTAGTAGGTGGGCTACAGAATCAGCTGTGAAAAGCAGAGGGGCTGGAGAGGGGAGTGAGGCTGGAAGTGGAGTCTGGCAACCTCCAGAAAACTTTACTCTTCCTTTGTTCAACTGTGCCTTCTTCATATCTACAGGGCTCAACTGTCTCCGAAGTGTGAAGGTGGCAAAGTCTGAGGAGCTGGAAGCAGGGATGAGGTAGATGTGAGGACAGGGGCTGAGTGCTGCTGCTTAGCAGGTGCTGTCTGTGGTTAAGTCACATAACCCTAAGATGTACTCTGCAGGAGGTTGTGTAGGGCCTGACAAAGACCCCCAGACAGATTCCCACACGTGGCCAGGATACTTCTGGGACCTTTCTAGGACTTACGTCTGACTGCTGAATCTAGAGTTTGGAAAGCAGCTCAAAGGAAGACAGAATTGGAGATGGACAAGCTCATCAGTCTACCAGGGGGGATTCTTCGTCTACCAACTGACGTATAATCCCACTTCCAGAAATCAACAACTGACAAGGTGTTCTAAGACAGCTGTGCAGGGCTGGCCAGGACAGCCTTGGGGATGACTTGAGTTTCGATATCACACAGCTCTGAACTGAAAGAGTTGGGAAGACTATCCAGAAAGGGGAAGACCTTTAAAGGAAGAGAAGACGACTTACAGTTGTCTTCTACCATGTGGGTACCAGGAATCGAACTCAGCTCAACAGACTTGGCAGCAAGTGTCTCTGCCCACTGCGCCATCTAGACAGTCCTTTAAAATGTCTTTATTGCGTTGGAGAAATGGCCTAGCTCTTAAAAGCACTTACGCTCTGGTGGAGGCCCAGAGCTCAATTCCTAGCACCACATGGCCATCCAAAATTCCAGTTCTGGGAGATCTGATGCTGTCTTCTGACCTCCTCGGGCAGCAAGAACATGCTTGGTGCACACACATACATGCAGTAAAACATTTTCACATAAAATAATATGTATAAATGCCACACAAAATTTTAATTTATTACTTTTATTTACATATATCTGTGTGTCTATGGGAGTGCAGCAGGTCAAATTCTGGACCTCTTCGCTGGATCACAGGCAGGCCAAGCTCCCATCTACTCCCTATATTTAGGGTGCTGAGTTAGCCTCCACATCTCAGTTGAAGCCTCTACCCCAAGGGGCAGGGGTAAGCTGAAAAACACTCCAGGGGGCTTTGTGACCTCAAGCTGCTCCAATACAGGGCATAGAGAACGTAACACCCAGGTGCCTTGCTCTGAGGGGGCCTTTGCAGAAGTCAGATGAGCCTGGCAGCATCCAAACTACAGGGGACTGTGCATGGAGAAGCGTAGCTGGGTACGTGGCTGGCTTGAAGCCAGTCCTTATGCCTTGGAGTGTCTCTGTGGGAAGCCACGATGGACATGTGACATCTTGTACACTGTGCTGAGGAAATACCAGTTCTCCCTTACAGCTCTTCTCACAAACCTACTAGAAAGCACACATGAAAGCAAGTCCTGTCAGCTTATTGCCTATAAGTGCGCTTGTGTCTCTCCTGCATGATTAGCATGTCTATGCTGTGAATATGGACGTGCTCCGATGAATATGTATGTGCCGTGAGCGCCTGTGCCCGACAGTCAGCCGTCCTTTCTCCATTCTCTTCCCCTTTATTTTGTTCCCCTGTTAAGAGCCTTGGCAGGATAGGGATGATCTATGCTGCCCCCTAGGGTGGGAGGCTGGCAACAGGCAGCAGAGTCTCCTGATAGAGCATATTCAAGACAGGGCGAGGCTGTGTAGTAACCCACGGAAACACCTTGGCTTCCTCAGGAAGGGCTCAAGTACCCTCTCAGGAGGCAGAGCTGCACTAATGTTCATGACCCACACCTGGTTCTAGTCACATGCTCCAGCTCCAGACCCAGATGCCCCTTCCCAGAACCAACTATGCCCGTTCCTATTCCCAGTGTCCTCTGCTGCCCTTCACCTCTGCCTGGCATTGCCTTTATTTTAGATTCCCCTGCTGTGGAATAATCCTCCTGTACACTGTAAATCATGCTGTGACTGGTTTAATAAAGAAGCTGGCTGGCCAATAGCTAGACGGGATAAAGTGAGGTGGGAAAACCAAACTAAGGACACTGGGAAGAAGAAGGGTGGAGTCAGAGGAGATGTCAGCAAGACACGGAGGAAACAAGAGGTGCAAGATGAAAGAGTTAATGTCACATGGCAGAATGTAGATTAATATAAATGGGTTAAGTTGTAAGAACTAGTTAGGAGTGAGCCTGAGCTATCAGCTGAGCATTTATAATTAATGTTGAGTCTCCATGTCGGTTATTTTGGAACTGGTGGGTGGGAAAGTCCGCCTTCAGTCCCTGTTAGGAGTCACTCAGTTCCTCCCTCCTGGAGTTCTTCTGTCTCAGTCACTACTGGGTGACATGTTCCTCCAGCAGAAACAAGCTCAGACCCCCTTTACCCTGCTTCCAAGGGAGGATGGTCCTCAAATGTCAAGTGAGAGACACGGATGGACCAGGAGAGGGAGGATGGAAAGACAGAAGAAAAAGGTAAGGCAGGAGAGAGCAGATTCTGCTGTTTCTTCCCTCCAATCTGTCTGAGGATCTGTCTGGGATGCATAAAGTAAGTCAGCACCATCACTGCCTCTTCCAGGGACTAAAATAATTTAAAAGGGGAGGGTGCTCACTGCCAAGCATGACAATCTGAGTTGGATCCCTAGAACCCATATAGTAGAAGGAAAGAACCTACTCCTCCAAGTGGGGTGCTGGATCTGAACTCAGGTCCTCTGGAAGAGCAGTAAGCACTTCTAACCACTGAGCCATCTCCTCAGCCCCTTTGGGACAGGTCTTACTATATGACGCAGGCTGACCACAGGGCCTTTTGTTCAGCTTCCAGAGTGCCTGAATCACAGGGATGAGCTACCAAGCCCGGCTACTATACTCTTAAAATCCTGAGCAAGGTGTTGCTTCTGCAAGACCATAAATTTACTCCATAAATCCAAAAGACCAAACGGTGAGATGAGTAAGTCTATTTCGGGGAAGCTGAAAGATGAAGCAAAACCACAGAGCAGTCTAGTTAGGAAACGTTCTTCATAATGTTGGGCACTGAGTTCTTGGTCCCTGGTTGGTGGTGGCGCTGTTTGGGGAGGTTTAGGAGGTGTGGCCTTGCTGGAAGAAGTCTGTCACTGGGAGCAGGCTTTGAGAGCTAAAACTAAGGTCACTTCCAGTATGCTCCGCTTTGTGCTTCTGGCTGAGGATGTGAGCTCTCAGCTTCCTGCTCTGGCCACCGTGCCTGCCACCTCCTGCCATGAAAGACTGCTATCCTTCTGGAACCATAAGCCCAAATAAACTCTCTCTTCCATAAGCTGCTGTAGTCGTGGTGTTTTGTCACAGCAATGGGAAAATAACCAATATACCCAACCAGCAGCCAAAGGAATGTAACAGTGGAGACATGGAAGCACAGGCAAATGGAGCAGAGCTCCTTCAAGGGAGACATGCTAGGGTTTCCCAGCACAGATGTGGGCAGAACGCTAGCCCCAACGAACAAGCAAAGTCCAAACTATGGGAAACAATGAAGTAGATAAAAAAAAAAAATTAACTTTTTAAAAAAGGTGATAATGAAGCACGATCCAACAACAGTTCTACCCCCAGTCACAGGTCCTACAGAAATTAAGAATCCACCAAAGTCAGACCTAACTATCTGCAGCAGCATTATTTATCTGCAGCAGCATTATTTACCATAGCCAAAAGTAGAACTCACATCCAATGCCTGCTGAGTGAGACACAACACAGCATGTGCAGACAATGAACATTATTCAGTCATAAAAACAACTAGTTACCAACTGTACAACACAGGTAAGCCTGGGTGAAAGAAGCAGACTCAAGAGCAGGTTTTACCTGGTCCCACTCTTGTGAAATGTCCAGGGCTCCCACTACAGAGAGAAAGCAAGTCAGTGTTTCTCCATGGCAGGTACAGGGCCAAGTGACAAGACCACAAGGAGAGAACATGGGTGGAAAGTTTCTTGTAGCTGACCTTAGCTTCCAGTACTCCATGCTTGCTGCAGACCTGAGGTGGCCAACTCCGTGGCACTCGAGATGTAGCTGGTCCAGACACACCCACAGGCTTCCCAAAACCCAGTCCAGAAAAGTAATTTCAGTATTCCAGAACTTTAAAACTACTGGCCACTCAGTGAAATGACAGTATTTTGGATAATGACGTCAAAATAATTATGAAAATTAGTTATACTAGTTAAAGTGGTTATTAAGAAGTTTAAGTGCCAGGTGGTGGTGGCACAAGCCTGTAATCCCAGCACTTGGGAGGCAGAGGCAGGCAGATGTCTGTGAGTTTAAGACCAGCCTGATCTACAGAACGAGTTCCAGGACAGCCAGGACTACACAGAGAAACCTTGTCTTGAAAAACAAAAAACAAAACCAAAACAAACCAGTTTAAGTTAGGGGCTGGAGGGATGGCTCAGTGGAGACCTGAATGACCTCACAGCCCAGCACAACTGCTGTCCTGCTGGGACACAGCTCCACTGTCGCAATATTGCTAACTTTAGCATGTCAGTAAATCCAGAAATATTGATTTTGAAGAAAAACAACTCACTTTCTAAAGACTTGCAAATGTAAACAACCGGTGAGTGGCATGAGTCACATACTCTCATCCTGGCTGCCTGGCCCACTAGTTAGTCACAGCGTTGTTGGGTGTGGTGTCCTACAGCCTCCAAGGTTTCAAGGGCTGGTAGCTTTAGCTGCTCCATCTATGTATACTACTGTGCTCTCTCTCCCTACTCCTCCCTCCTTTATCCTTTC